TTACTACTAGTAAGGCCCTTGCTCCTAGTAGCGAGGCACTTGTTACTGATAGCTTCTTGTTACTAATGTGCCTTTCCGAGAGTCAGTCGGTTCCGCTGCCTGGTAACGCAGGTCTCCGTACACCACACGGCCCTGAAGGCGAGACGTAGGCGGTCAAAAGACCAGCTGGATCAAAGGTCCAAATTGTGTCGTTTCTTTCGTTCCTTTTTTTCACATAGAAGGAGTATGAAGGAGTTGGGCCTGGGTCAATTCTATTCTTGTCGCGCATCCAGCTTGATCCACTCTTCACAGGCTCGGTGATCTTGGACATTGCTGCCCTGTGCGGCCATTGCACGCTTAATTTCGCTGCGCTGCCCATAATCCATGGTGCTGTGCTGTAGCCGAGTGAATGCCCTAGGAAGATCCTGGCTTCATGCCACGAGGTGTGGCGCATGCATGTGGGAGAAACCTCCGCAGATGCGCAGCCAAAGTTTGCCTGGACACCCTGGCCTGCAAGCTCTGCAAGCTCCTGTCATGAGAGGCTTGCCAGTCTGAGGATCCCAAAATGCTTTGAAAGGTTTGCCGGACGCAGGGTCTCATAATGATTGTCAGATCTTGTCTCACTGCCTCAGGGCATTGGGCCACTGCTCAGGCGGTGGTTAAGGCAACTTTCGGGTTTTACCTGTGCTCAACAGAGAGAGGCACAGTGCTCGATAACATCGGCACTTCCTCCCACTCTTAATAAAAGACAACATAATAAACAATATCACATGAGTTATCTACCACAAAGACACAAAGACATGCTCTGCTAGCCCCACAAGCATCACCATTGCATCTTTGTGGGCGATCCAACTGCTGGTGCTATCTGCAGCCCTTCGCAGACTGCTAAGGGCAGTTGAGAAACATCAGACCCCAAAAAGAGCTCACGGCTGGCAGGAGTGCATGTACATGTCCAGTTTGTGATCAAACTGTCGCTAGTTGAAGGGATTGAAATGGCAGATTTCGCGCGTGGCCGCCTGCGACTCAAAGGTAAAGGGCGGTGTGAGATGGTGTGAGTGTGAATTAATTCAACATGGCAATGATTCCCTTCCTTCGTCTATTTCAATGGATCGAACATCATGACACATGGTGAAGAGACGTCTCACCGGGTCCTGGCTCGAAGTCATTGTACTATGTTTGCACAAGAGATCATTCCGTAAATGAAACCTACGGCTGCGCCTGCAACTGTACAGTGCTTCGCAGGGGAGCCTCGGATTGGATGAATTCACACTGTCTTGCATGCACTGAGCCATGCTTTGACGAGTAAGGAGCCTTTTGCTTTTCCTCCCCAAGGGAGAGATGTCTTTGAGGCCGTTTCTCAATGTGTTCTTAGCAGACATGTAGACATGAGATGACTTATATTGCTACGAGCGGAGCAAAGGGCATCGCTACTAGGGGTTCCTGGCCGTACCACTAGGAACAAGAAGCTACTAGTAACAAGTGCATCGCTTCTAGTAACAGGTGCCTTACTAGTAGTAACAAGAAGCTACTAGGGGCTCCTGGCATCGCTACTAGGAACAAGAAGCTACTAGGAGCAAAGGGCATCGCTCCGAACGGAGCGATCGGACGCTACTAGGTATATAGCAGCAACAGGAACTGCACGTCTTGAGGCGAACATGCAGAGAGCTCGTTCTTCAGGCGGGCATGATACAAGCACTGCCGAATCAGAGACCTTTCATAGTACTCGTACAGACCTTTCATGATCTTCTGATAGCATCATATCATTCATCCTCTCCTTAGTCCAGATTTCTTATGTGACTCCAGCTATCATGAGGCATTCCATAGAGAGGTTTGTTGAAATGGTCTGGAGATGTCTCGAGTATGGCTCACATTTGACAGGTAGTGCTTCGCAGAGCCATGAAGGCTGGAGGGGATGGCCATGCTCCCAGTTTTGTTTGATCTTCCGATGCAAGATCAGGTCAAACGCCGTATTTCTACTGCCTCCAGTTAAAGAACGCCTCAGCAAAAAGCGGTTTTTGTGTCACTAGTCAGTTGATCCGCCTCAGGTGCATTCTCTAGTTCAAGTCCATGCCTTTGCGTCAGGTCTTGATCGATTCCAGCTGGTTGTGGATGAAGCAACCTTAAGGGTAGGGCACCCGGAGACCGGACCCGATATTCTGATAGAAAAATCATGGACACGACATGAACTAACTTCAGGATACTCATAAATCCTGGATACCGCAGGATCAATATAGCTTGGAGGTTTCGAACTTCGTTGTAACGCCATTGACTTGCTGAGTGGGTCGCGAGCTGTGCAGGTGATTAACTCCTTTTTGAAAATGGGAGACCTCCACGGAGAGGCTGCGATGAATGGTGCCGTGACTGTTTTCATGATTGTTCATGTCACAAGTGAAGCAGCTCAAAAAGCAGCCGAGCCGACTGAGCCCACGCCTTTTGTTTCAACTTTCCGACCCCGAACATTTCGGCGGCTGAAGACATGGCTGAAAACATGGCATCCGCTTCAGGGCGTCACCAGCGTCGAGCTGATTGAGGAATCCAGGCAGCCGTTGTCCATGGCTGAGGAGTCGACTACGACCGTAGCTTCTTGTTACTAGTAGTATGGCCAGGAGCCCCTAGTAGCGTCCTTGCTCCTAGTAGCGATGCCAGGAGCCCCTAGTAGCTTCTTGTTACTACTAGTAAGGCACCTGTTACTAGAAGCGATGCACTTGTTCCTAGTAGCTTCTTGTTACCAGTAGCTTCTAGCTAACGTTGAATGGGGATCGACTCCAAAGACATGAAACTGCTGAGCTCGGTGAGCTGTGCGGTGAGCTGTGAGATGGTAAGGCCTGGCTTGGATGCCATGTACTTCTTAAGGCACCGGAGCCTGGCGTCAGACGGTGCAAAGGACCACAAGACCTCTTTAGAAGATTTTAGAAGACACCACAGACCTTTAGGGTGAATGTATTGATTGCACCTCACCCTTGCCCAGCCACACAAGCCACAAGTCTTTTCATGTCTTTTTCTGGACGAATTGCTGTGCATTCCATCCTATTCCATCGTCTATGCGAAGTGAAGAAAGTGAGTCTGTCCAAATTGCATCAAACACACAGTGTTTCTCATTTCTCATTTTTCTAGGCCTTTTCCAGAGAACGTGGAGCGGATCTTGGGCGAATTCAAGAGCGCAGCTCCACAGCATCGCCAGGCCTTGAGAGAAGATAGGCTCGTAGGTTGGAGGCCGCTACTAGGAGCAAAGGACGCTACTAGGGGCTCCTGGCCGTACTACTAGGAGCAAGTAGCTACTAGTAACAAGAAGCTACTAGTTACAAGGGCATCGCTACTAGGAGCAAGAAGCTATTAGGTTGGAGGCCATTAGGAGAGGTCTTAGTCAGACGAGACGAGGCGCTCAGACTCGTCTTGACGTTTTGGGTTTGACGCGCCAGCGTCACTCAGACAGGTTCACTTGTGCTTCACCAAGCCGGTGGAGCAGAGCCTTTTGTCCAAATTCACAGAGGCGAGCCACATTGCCATGGTTTGAAACATGTGCGAACCTGACTCACTCATGGTTTCAGAACATCCTTGAAGGTTCCAGAACATGTTTGTCATGCATTTTGGAAGAGTTCGGAAGAGCCTGGTCAGGCGCCTCACTTGGCATCTCGTGCCTGATGCTTAGGGCAAGAGCAACTCATCATGGTATGGTCCTATTTCTTGGCAAGAACTCAGGGCTTAGGTCCCATGCTATTATAGGGATCGCTTGTTGTTAGACCGGTGATTTTGCGCCATCGTGCAATAGTCTGGTGTACTTTGCACTAACCAATATGGTAAGATGACCTTTGCTGCGAGAGAGCATCTCCTCCACGGCTTGAGATGAACCGTGAAGACAAGGTCAGATCTTTTGTGGAAGTGCCTTTAAGCTTCTCGCTTGTACAGGACACATGTTCGTTTTCTCATTGTTACTTCGATATTTTATGCCATCAACGACCTTTGTTGAATCTGGGAGGATCGGGGCTTCCATTTTGATGTTCCAGAGGCCATAACTGCTTTGTTTCCTGTGCCAGCTGCTAAGCTGCTTTCGCAAACAGATTGGCAGCTGCAGTCATTTGCAATCCATGCAGCTGAAATGCGAGGCCCGATCCCCAACTGGTCTCCAGCATTGTCCAGCAATTGGCGGATGTTTGCCGGTGCCTCCAGGCGACTGTATAGTATGGGCGAGTTTCCACAGTCACGCAAGCTAGCGTTAGCTAAGTATGGTCTTGCTTTAGCAAGGGAGTGGAGACCTGAGGCCAACACAGTGATTTGATCTTTCACTAGAACCCCTTCTCGTCAAGAGCATTGCAAATACAAGATAACGGTAAGCTGGCTAGTTGCTTCGTGGAAGTAGGATTATATATGGTGATGATGATGATGATGATGATGATGATGATGATGCAACTGATTGCCCTAGCTTTTAACTTATCCCATCGGTCTCAAGTAGGTATAACATCGGCATCGGCCCATAGTTTGTAATCCATGTAATATCATGAATATATAGTGTAGAGAAGCGGACATGCGAACATGCTTCGCTTTGTGCGGCTGACTTGGCCAGACAACCACACCGAGCATTCGCTGCCAGTCAGACCTTTGTCTGGTACTTGGTCTAGAAGCCTGAGTGACATAGGACTTTGAACCATACTGGGCTAGCAAAGCCAAACTGGGAATGACATGAACAGAACGTTGGTGGAACGTGGTAGGCATTCAACTCAACTTATATCACTCGATCAATTTGTCTTTCTTGAATCATATCCAATCTGAAAACAGGCCATACGATTGGTCAGAGAGTCCTTCGAGAGCTCAGCATGTCACGACCTTGGCACATATCTTGTTCCCCTAATAACGTCCTTGCTCCTAGTAGCGATGCCAGGAGCCCCTAGTAGCGTCCTTGCTCCTAGTAGTAAGGCCAGGAGCACCTAGTACCTTCTTAGCACCAAGAGAACCATGTAGTCGAAACGGGAGAAAGCATGCGAGGCACCAGGCTTCGGCGCTACCAAGCCAACCTTGCCTCATCCTCGGAAGTTTGCCTACACTCTACATCAATCTACATCACTTGGTTGCCAGTTGTTTGAAGGAACAACAGCACTTACTGCAAAACATTTTAAAACCTTGCAAGTTGCATCAGGTTTCTATAGTTTTCTAGAGTTTACTTGTGCTGATTCTTGAACAGGCCAGCTGCTGATTCTCGAACGGTCTGTCGATATGGCAGCAGCACTCGTCCACGAGTACTCCTACGAGGCAAGACAACTAGGCACGTTTCGAATTGCTGCGGCGTTTGTATTTGGACGCGTGCTTTCTCTTGTAGAGGCTTGTGTCTTTGACCTGCTCGATGGCAATATGCTCGACGGAGACCGCAATGTAGTGACACTCAAAACTTCCCATGCAGGCGAAGTGCAGTGATGCTCTGACAAAACAATGTAGTATGGTATGGTGCTGTGATTTTGAGAACAAGCTCCATGCCATATTAGACTCTAATGCGACCACTTTGCATCATTTGACTTGGCCCAGGGGAGAACAAAGACAAGAACAAGGAGATGCTGCTGGAAGATCCTCTTTGGGAGGAGACGGCAAATAAAGGTTGATGATTGGTCTCTGACCGGATGAGAGGTGTTTTTCAAAGTTGGAGGAGCTAAGGTATATGCACATAGAAGCAGCACGATCTCATGTGGAAGCCAAGGCGCAGTCTGCCTGTGATGAGTAATGCATAGAACATGTTTTTGGCAGTTTTGCTCGCGTCAGGTAGATGATGTAAAGCGCGCGGCCCTCGTGAGATCCATCAACATGTCATGAGGTATCGAGATATGAGCTGCCTGAGGTCAGAACAATCAGAAAAGTTCAACTGCAATGAGTACCAGCGCATCATCCTTAATTACAGCACAAATATCCAGAGTACCTGCCTATGTACCTTTTGATATCCCTTCATGAGACTATAATATATTGATCTCCAGTTTTTCAATCATTTATCATCTAGACTAGACTTTCGGATTAGGTGATCCGTTCACGTCCCTACTTGTAGTTCAAGAACATTCACCATCAAACATTACACAAGTTACCGGGTCGGGAAATCTACTTATTCGCCCCAAAAGACGCCTTGAACGATGCCGAGGCCATGCTGGAGCAGCTCCGTGGAGCCCCGGAGATGTTTGTAGCTGAGGTGATTGTTGCTGCTGAGAGTGGAACTACTTGAGCAACAGCGGGTGATCCAAGGCGAGATGCCGTCGATCGTATGTCGCTGCACTTGGCGATGATCATGCCGCATGCCTTAGGAGATATTCTGAATTTGGATGTTCATAATGATGGGTTCAGGCCATTGACACAGGGAACATGGCGTCGTGGACTAGCATGATTGGTACAAGTTGACCTACCGAGGCAGATCCACTCACGTTTGAGCCAAGAGCAAATCTTGGATCCACTTCATCTTGGGCTTTTGGAGCAGGACTCAGCTATCAGGGTCCAAACGAAGCCAATGGAATGATAAGATGGTCAAGTGACGTGAAATGTGCCACGTGGCTTTGGGATGTTTGACGAACACGGATGCGACATCGGCCGGATATTCTCCCAACATGTGGAGTTCCCCATTGACCTTGTTGCAGGACACTGCATGCGGCATTGACCGCAACGGGAAAGATGTGAAGATTGCGAACTTGCAGCAGACCTTGCTGAAGTGCGCACTGGGAAAGCTGTGTTTGGCTCAAAGACACACCTGGCATAGATGTCACACAAGGCGACTGGTCGCATCATGTCTCACCGACGGGGATCGCGGATCGCAGGATTTTCATAGATCGGCCAGAGCTGCCCAGCGAGATGAAGCTGCGCTTGCTGATGCTTTACTTTGCCACTTGGTTGGTGTCAAACGCGCCGTGTGCAGCGCTTTGGCCAAGCTCGGCCACCGTGATCATTCACAGCAATTCACATACGGCACAAATTATTCATCGCAGACCACAGATGACCACAATCAGTTCTAAGGCGTGTGTCGCAAACATACCAGAGGCGGTGCCGGTGCAGAGCGTTAGTGAGATCAAGATTCTTACTGATTCTTAATTACTTGTTTCTATTTCACTCATGGGCCCTCATTTTCCCATTGAAGTTGTTTGCCAACCTTCTACAATTTTGGCTGCGAATAATGCTGCATTTTTTGCAGGCAAACCGATCAAAGCTCATGGATGCCGCGAAGTTGGAACCCGAGGACCATCAGGCCATGCTTTGATATGGCGTGAGGTGTGCAGTCAGTGAAAGCACTGCAAATTCTTCAATGTCCTCCAACCTAATAGCGATGGCCTCTAACCTAAATGATCCCGGGCCAACCACCACGAACTTTCTCTTTGTCAGGTTCTTATCGCAATGCTCCGGACCCGTCTTATGGAGGCATGGAGGAAAGGGAGAAAGGACAAGAACATGCATAGAAACATTGAGAACATGATAATATGAACCTTGGGAAAACTAGCCATAAAGCTACTAGGGGCTCCTGGCCTTACTACTAGGAGCAAGGACGCTACTAGGGGCAGCCATACAGCAACGTACCAGCGGAGAGCCGAGCCGCTCAGGTCCCAGAATCTCAACGGCTGAAACAAGGTACTGGATGTGCACATCGCGTGACCAAGCAGCAGGCCTTTGGGTTTGTGACGAGAAAGCGGTAGCTGATTTGGCTTATGTGTTCGCACTTCTAAAGGGTATGGGTAATGGGATGTAATGGGTATGAACATCTACACGCTGAAGTAGCAATTGTTCAGCTGTGCCATGCTGTGCCTGGCATACTTCCAGCCCAAGCAACTCCCAGTCTCAGACCCAGGACAAAGAGCAGTTGCAAAGTGGAAGATACAGGCACAAGTGACTTTCGACAACTCTAGCTAAGACCAATGTGAAAAAGACAAGTAACTCAAGCTTTTCCAGCCACAAAAAGTGAATAGGATCAATAGAATCCGGACCAGCTGAAAAGGCACTTTGGGAAAACACACTTTGTTCATCCTTGTTCTACTTCCGTCCGGTCAACCGGCCGAACATGGCATCGCTTCCTGCTCCGCGTGCGGCTCCGCGTGTCGCTCCCCGTGTCCTGAGCGTGCAATCGCACGTGGTTCATGGCTATGTGGGCAACCGTGCAGCAGTGTTCCCTTTGCAGTTACTGGGCTTTGAAGTTGACGTGATCAACTCGGTGCAATTTAGCTGTCACACAGGATATCCCAAATTGGCAGGTCAAAGGGTCTCTGGAGATGAACTAAGAGAGGTGGTAGAGGGCTTGTCTTACAACGAGGCTTTGGATCACTCCTTTCTACTCACAGGCTATATTGGAGCAGTCTCTTTCTTGAAGGAAGTCTTGTATCTTCGTCAGAAGTTGCCTGAGACTTGCTGCTATGTTTGTGATCCTGTACTAGGTGACAATGGTCACTTGTATGTACCTGAAGAGCTTGTGGCGGTCTACCGCACCGATGTTTTGCAGCACGTGGCAATACTTACACCGAATCAGTTTGAGGCTGAGTTGCTGACAGAAAAGAAGATTACCAACATCCAAGAGGCGGTGCAAGCTTGCAATCTGCTTCACTCAAAAGGCCCCAAAGTTGTGGTGCTTACCACCTTGGACGTGCCAGATGCCACCAAAGGTGACAATGTTGCGATGCTTTTATCATGTGCCGGACAAAGGAAGTGGCTTCTCCGCGTACCTCATATCGGAGGTGGGCCATTTACCGGCACCGGAGACCTAACAGCTGCGATGATTCTGGCCTGGACTCATATGATGCCAGACGAGTTGCCCTTAGCCCTTGAAAAAGCTGCTGCTGTGCTGCAAGGCGTGCTTCGGAACACGGTGGCAAGCTCGAGCGCCCGCATCATCGCAGGCAAACGAGTTTCTCCAGAGCTGCGGCTCGTTGAGTCTAAAGCAGCCATTGAGTCGCCCAGAGTCTTGCACCGCTGCGAGTTGGTGGAGCCTGTGAGCATCAAAGGCGTTCTCTTTCATGAGATAGGGGATGCTGAGAAACTTGTGAATTGTTTAAAGAACTCTGGCCTAAAAGCGGCCACGGTTTCAGAACCTTTGATGGAGCATTTGAAACTTTGGGGACTTGAGGCTGAAGCTTCGAATGTCTTGCTTGTCACATCGTCCTTGACCTTCCTCCGTACTGCATCGGGATTCAAGACTGTGACCCTGCTCCAGAACAGAGACTTGGACTGAAGATGCGCACTACGCTGGTTAAGGATCTGGAAGCTCCAATCTATGTAAGGAGATGTTTGTAGCCAATGGTCCAGCACAGGATCCTGATATTTTATGAAATTTATGATTCATGATTCATGACATTGTATTGTTGTATCGTAGCTTAAGATAAACATAGTATTCATTCCTTATAACGGGCTTTACTACGCCCCGAATAATGTTGCCGTGTTTGACGTAAATATCGTAAATCTTATCTGAAATGTTGTTTTCTTTTGCTTTACCCCAATCCTGGCGATCCTGGCTTGTTTCCTTCTTCCTTTTCCTTCAAATTCTTGTTCAATTCTGCTTTTTGTTCATTTCGTTTCTCTTCTTTGCCTTTCCCTTCAATCTCCTGTTCTTTTCCTTCACTCAGAAGGTAAAACACGGCCAAAGGAAGAAACACAAAAGACTGAATAAACATGAAACAAGAATGTGACAGGGTAATGAGGGATTGACAGTTTTTATACATTTTCTACACTATTAAAAGGGCGTTTTGATACATTAAGCGGTCTTAAAACAAGACAAATTCTATGACCGTACGAAAGTAGATTCTATCATCTGATTATATATACTTTTCAGAATGCATTCAGCGTTGGCTTGAAAGTGTGTATTCCATGTATATATCATTGATTTCGCCATTGGACATGGCTTTTACCGGTGTTACGAGTGAAGCTGTTGTCCCGCTGGTAAGCAAGGTCTGAATGGGGGTTATAGCAATGGAACCAATGGCAACGGCGACATGTGCACTGATGCCTCTACGATGGCAAGAGAGGCTGCAAGTTTGTCGGGAACGATGCGATAGGTCGTGGCCCTTCTCGATGCCTCAAAGGCTTTTCATGTCAGAGTCTTCTACTGAAGTGGTCATATTCGGATGATCGAGTTTTGTGCGTGTGTGGTGTTTATTGGGGATCAGAGTGCACTACTATGTACGTTTATCTACGATTCAGTTTATATAATGGGAAAGGAAAACTATGGCAACTTGACAACCGAACTTTTAGCGTTGCTTGTTCTCCAGAGAAAACGTGGCCTGATCTTTTCCATTTCCTGCAAAGCCGTTGCTTTCTGTGAGGCAGACTTCACCATCAGTTGCCTGGATTCTTTGCGAAGAATTCTGCCCATGGCTTCTTGCAGCCCATAGTGCCGAAAGATCGAATAAACTAAGTCCTAGTAGCGTCCTTGTTACTACTAGTAAGGCACTTGTTACTAGAAGCGATGCACTTGTTCCTAGTAGCGTCCTTGTTACTACGTGAATAGGTTGGTCGGTTTCGACTTTACAATTCAACTCGCAACCGCCTTTTGTTTCCTTGGGCGTCCAACATGCCCGAGTAAGTACAGAGACGGGCGACGGGGATGCAACCACCCTGTGCTGGTATTCCCTACCACGCAGTGTATCACTTCGTGCATCTGACATGTGCCCCGCAAAAGGGTGCTGCCTCAGAGCTCATACTAGGATTCATCAAGAAGCTACTGGTAGCTCCTGGCCTTACTACTAGGAAAGACTAGCTACTAGGTGGAGGCTATCGCTATTAGGTTGGAGGCCATCGCTGCTAGGAGCAAGAAGCTTCTAGTAGTCATACTGCAAAGGCCACGGTTTTGGACCTGGCCCCTCCATAGCTTCAGCTTAGCTGTGTCAGGCGATGAGATTCAAGAAGAATGCTGTGGTGCAGAACTGAGCCCATCTCCGATCATCCGACATCATCCGACCAACGCTTCGGTTTTGCTTCGGTGTGGCCGCCATTTGCCTCCTGGCAGCCGCCCGCAGGCTGAAGGGCGTTTCGAGCTGTCACGCTTTGAGCCACGGTTGAAGGAGAGGGAGAGGGAGAGGGCTGGGAGAGGGGTGAGAGGGTGTGTTGGCAGATCTGTGCAGATGAAAGGAGGCACGTACTGATGGACAGATTATTGCTTGTACTGTAGTTACCCTGTTTGGCATGTTTTGACGAGGAAGCCCTCGACATCCGCATTTATTGAACACAGCCGAGCTACTATACGTCCCACACGCAGGAAGACCATACAATATCATGATTGGCTGACATGAATGGCGAAGTCAGGAGATTCTGGAGCAATTGGCTGAAGACCGACTCAGCTTAGAGGAGCTTTGATGTCATGTGTTTGCAGAGCTCGTCCACATTTATCCATCCATTTTGTGCAGGATTTTGGTGTATGTCAGAGCGAATCGCAGGAATCTTAGCCTTCGGAGAGAGATGGGGAGATCATTATCCAAAAACTTCAATCAGTTTCCCGACACCAAGGACAGACTTCGGCAGGGAGCCCAGCAACTATAAGGTGGTTCGGGACAAAGCCAACACCATGTCGAGGTCTTCGTGAGGCTGGATATGCAGACTTACTTGGAGCTCCTGCCATCCAGGCCTGTAGAAAAGTTGCACATGCATGAGTGAAATCACTAGGCACAGTTGTGGCTCAGGGATCTCAGCCTTGAATTTGAAACTTCGAGCGTGCAACAAACCCTAGACCCGCAGTTCAAAAAGGGTTGACACAAGAAAACATGCTAAGATCTCAGTCTGAATCTGGTGCGACCAGATTTGTGGGGTAGACACTTTCTGGGCGGCGCACTTGTTCAATCTCGAACAGGGACCCTGACCCCGCCGCTTCTGTAGGCCAAAGACGATTGGTCCTTCGCATCAGTGGCAGGTGGCAATTGTGCGAGCTTTCGCATCACATGATCAACACCGACCCGAGCAGCCATACTTGTATTGAATATTTGATATGTTTGAATATTGTCCACGATATCAACAGTGTAGCAATTCATTTGCACCAACCATGGATATGGATCCTGTGTTTTCCCTTGATTGTTTTGTTCGGAGTTTCATGCATTCCCCCTCTTCCTTTGCCAGGGGGCGTGGATGCGGAGAGGACAGAGACCTCACATCGGATCGTCATCTTTGTGTCCTCTCCTCGGATGGATTATCCCACACACACTCATAAAAGCCGCTTTCTATGCTCTTTCTATCACAGTTCTTTCCTTGGGTGAACCATATACTGTAAATGCTCTTGTGTAGATAAGCTGCACAATACACCTCTGCAACATAAAAAAGGAACATCATCACCCAAACCCTTCTGCAAGGGTTGGGATTGCTTGGGAGAGCATTTGAGATTCTCTCGAGCTGAGGCTTGGAGGTTTCACACATTCGGAGTTGCGAGTGGCTGCAGAGGCTGGTTGATGCGGAGTTGAACAGCAGATAACGATAGCCAGCGTGATGCGCTGTGTTTGGCCAGGTTCAAGAAAAGCTGCCTCGCGGAACCGAGGCGCCTGAAATGCATTTCAGCAAGTTTGTGCGAGCATTTTGCTTGCATCATATTGCCTAGCATGTGCAAAAAATGTTCCCTTCGTGCAGACATTGTTGATTTCACCGACTGTATTGGCCCCCTCTTAGACTCAATATGCCGCGGCCGCTTCAGGTACTCATGGGAGGTACATCGTTGTTAACCCCCAAGAGGCTGATCAGAGCATTGAGGCGCGACCGCAACTGATCGCATTGGGGCGTTTGTGCGGCTGTGCTTTCGTGGAAAGGCCGAAGTCTGATGCAGCGGAAGGCGGAAAAGTTGCACTCCCCTGTCAAGAAAAATTGTCAACCTTGCCTTGCAAATCAGACTCGTGTTTCATGTTTAACAGCAGTGTGAAGCACATTGCCCATTTGTAAGCCATCACTGAAGGTGTTGACGGTCCGGATCTGACTTGAGCTTTGTTCGGCTTGTCATGGAAAAATGTCGCCCACTTGTCGCTGTGACTGTTTGTGACCCTCGAATGGTTTGGTTGTTGATTTGTGATGATTTTAGATAATTAGTCGCTCTCCAAAGATATTTTGTGTGGATGGTGCGCACGTGACGAGCCAGACAAGAGAACAAGTTGTCCGACTGTTTCAAGCCTTGCTGCAAATGCTGACCGCAGCCATTTTACTGTTCTTTTGATACCTTTTGATGCACATGCAGAGCTTTTCATGCAGAGCTTCTCATGTAGAGCTTTGCTAGATGGGTGTCCTGAACTTAGTTGGTCTGAGAATGTTTGAGACAATTCATTGAAGTGTTACACGGCTTATGTCGTCTTATTGTTTCCGTTTGCATGCATGACGCAAGTTTTGGTGAGGCGGAAAGTTCGACACATGCAACTGCTGAGAAGCGCCTTGGTAGATTAGAATGTTGCTGTTCAAGCTTTGCATCGCTTTGCGGTGTCAAAGGAATAACTTAAAAAATACAGGAACCGGAACCGTTGTGTTTTGATTGGCAGCCCAGCTTGGCTCTCCCAAGGCGCACCGGGCCGCCCAGTGGGCCCAACGAGCGGGACACAGGCACCAAGTTCTGCTGCTGTCGAGGCTGAAGATGGGACGGAGAGATTTTGGTGCCCACAACTTCTGTAGGTCTGTCCCATGGGGTTTGTGGCCCACAATTGCAATACCCGCCTGCCGTAGATGAGGAATTCTGAAGCTAAAACAATCACAGTGTCTTTGGACTACTAACTAGACTAGTACTTAGTAGTAGGCCCAACCCAGACTTTTTCATTTGAACAATACAAACAGCGTGTTGTGCCAGTGAGTAAGCGCATGCTGCCACATGCAGTGCATCACTCCGTGGTTCAGTGCTGGTGAAACCCATGGCTATTCCGCGTGTTTGCGGAGGCGAGGAAGCGGACAAGGAGATATCTCATGGTGCCATCATCCGTGAGGCTGGACAAAGTATGGGAGAGTTGCATAGAGATGTTTGGTTCTGTCCTAGTCATCTTGCAAACTTGATTCAGAATGCTGTGAAGAGAGTCCAGAGTTTGGATCTCTTTTTTGCGGAGATGCTTGGGAGCTGGGCCAGAAAGGCCCAGGATAAGATCATATAAGATCTAATCGGCTGTGTTGGAGGCTCTAGAAGAGACTGAAGTCCCCGGCGACTTCCTGTCCTTCAAGGCTCGAAATGATGCCACCAAGTGTGTAAACAACAGCCCATGGCTGAGTTGAGCCTGATCTTGCCAGCCTCTTTACGATGATTCCTTTGATACTTTGACACTCCACCTGAGCCTGTTTCGGCCTGTTTGAAGCAATGCTTAACAGAAAGGACCTGCTGGTCAATGAGAACGCCAATCCCATCTCTGAAGCCTCCCAAACCTTGCCAAAAACAACATGCCAAAGTCCCAATGCATCTCACGCACCCATCTTTTTCTTGCTCCTTTGCCCCTCGCTGCCCCAGACACTGGCGGACTGACATGTTTCCTCCACTACTGTACTTTTCAATTTGTTCAACCATGACAAAAGAAGTAGAACAAGGTCTAGCCAGGCGACTAACAATATAAGATAATACAGTATAAGCCTTAACAGGTGCCGTAACAATATTTTCCAGCAGCAATGCCCAACTTTGCCACGTTTTTTGTTCGAACATGTCTTTTATTCAAAAGAGTACTCTTGCCAAACCCAGTGCCAAACCCATATTTACGAAGTTCTCACCCAAAATCCCACGTCCATACATTTGGGAACAGTTATGTAATCTTGATAGTCCAATTTCTGTTTGGCAGCTATTTACATGTTGCTTATTTGGAAAGGGTAGCTACTTCGAGCAGGTGCCAGCACGCCAGACGTCCTCCACATGCAATGAACTTGAAACTCGCAACATGGAAACTCATCAAACCGAAGGGATTTCTTTGCCTCATCTGAATGACGGTATTGGATGATATCGGTAGACGGTAGTAAACGGTAGACGGCGCCGGCGCACACAAAGTTCTTGCTGCTGGACTTGGTCCAAGATTGGTCACAGCTAAAAAGCTGCACTTTCACGTATGTTCACTTTTCGCTTTGAACGGTGTCACTGATTGGTTGGTGCATCGACGACTGGATGCTTTGAATCCAGACGGTGAGTGGAAAGGAGATGCAGCCGAAGCTTCAAGCACTTGGAGCAGTTGGATGGCCCTGTTCATTGATACAGCTGCTTTTCGGAATTGATGTGCCACCATGACGTTTGGATCCTGAGTGATCATGGGCTTGGAGATGGAGATCAACTCACATTGGTCTTGACACTTGACGCGGAACCTTCGTGGGCAATTTCAAAGTATGCTCGTGGACTTAAGAGATGCCTCTTTCGCAATCGATATACTGTATATAAACCTGTATATTACATTATATATATATATATATGTGAAGGTATTTTTTTCCATGGTCATGTCGAGATCAAGGTGTTCGAGGATATCGGCTCTGGTTTTCTGGTGAAGTCTTGGTCTTGGGAGGGCTCGGTGGAGTTCACTGAAGGAGATTGATCCAGTGGACATTGCAAGAGGATGGAGGATGAAAGACATTGACGCAAGTGGCACTGGAGAGTGTGCTTTTCTCAGCGAGATTTGCCAGGAGAGCAGCAGGAATCAACTGAGGCTGCAGGTCCCCTATATTTGCCCTACTTTTCTACCTCGAATTGCACCGGTTCACCCTGCCTCAGTCAGACTGATGGGTTTGAGTTTGATGTTGCTGAGATGAACAGCGATGAGCGCTGAAACCATACCTCGGAGCCAATTGATCAAAAGCTTATGAACACAAGAAAGAAACTAAAAAGTTGTTGAATTCTTCAACGTAAAGACACACACACATGAATGGAGTAGTTTAAGGGAAAAGTACATGATCCCCAAAGCTATAGATTCCTGAAAAAAGCTTTCCTCAAAGCAATTCTGAGAACACAACCAAGAGCACTCTTTGCAGAGGTATTTCGTGGTATGTTGTGGCCAGGACCCAACAGCTTATAGCAGATCATTTAGCAGCTGCCAATCGCTTTCGGTGTGAAGTCCCAGCACATCCAGAAACAGACGAGGGATGCAGATAATAGCTGCGGAAAGGGTCAAGATTCAAGATCAGTATGCATGCATTTCTAGAGAGATTCATGTGCAGGATTTGCTTGAGGATGGATTGCCCATCATGCAGGCTGTTCCCGTGCTTGTGGAGTGATCCTGCTCCAGAACTAGTTTGTGGCGACTTCTTCTTCCCAACACTCTGATCGATGCGGGGCGAAACGCGGAGGTTCCCAATGGCAAGGGCAGTTGGCATGAAGAAGGAGGCTCCTACAAAAGTCACTTGGCACGAAAATGCTGCAACCTGTGCTGCTTTCCTATGATGTCCCATATGTGTTGCTCGAAGCCATCTTGCCACAGCGCCAGGTTGCAAACTTCTGGCCAAATCACTTGCTGATGGTGATGCAGTGCTTGTTAGAATCTCAGAGTCTTTCTGCTTTTCCGCTATGGCTCCTCATGGAACCTTTGCAACCAAAGATCGATGGGACAGAACTGGGTGGGCCGAGAACCTGGTGCACTCACCTGATGGTCCCCAGGTTTGGACCCAGACCCCTTTGAATTCAGCAGGATTACGTTATCTTGGGAAACAAGTATACCGCTGCCAGGCCACGAACTGTCTCCGCAGAAACCCATGTACGATCAATGTACACATGGTTTCAATGTTGATCGCGCATTTACACAACATTAAAAGTATTTATATCCAATCCTGCAGTGTAGGGGTGCAGACAACCATCGCTGAAAGTTTCTCTGACTGAGGTTGATGTTTTGGGACAGTAGTGACAGTATATACAGGGATTTGTTGCCATGGTGACACACCCATTCAATCGGAGCTTTGCCATCGCTCCGCCCGAGGTTTGGGGGTCTTGGCTGGTGAAGCTGGCACAGGGGCACCCTTCGTGTAATGCGTCCGCGTCTGCTGCACGCCTGGGGCCTCAGAAAAGCCAACTGCTCGTCTATGGAAGGATCGTTCCTGTGCAGCCCAATCAGTGATTGGTGCTAATACTAAACTGCCTGCAAACCATCCTATCAACGATTCGTGACCTTATTTGGCAAGTGTCCTTGAAACTTCGTCCATGTGTTCCAGTGACACACTTGCACATGTAAGGACTTATTTGCCAGGGCCAGGATAGACACAACATTCTCGTGATCGCTGGTAAATTAACAATCTTGTGGCCCAAAGAGAACATTTTGCCTAAGTGGTGCTGGAATGACAGGCGGGTGACCTACTCCTTCAAAATGATAATCGAGTGGAAAGTGGCCCAGGTTCAGTGTTGCCACGACGCCAGAATTTGCCTGCAGAGGCAATGATTCTGTCAGCTGCTACCTTGATGTCACTGACTGAAGGGTTTGTGTATTGGACAGCCAATCTTTATATAAACTCTCCTCGTTTGTGTTTCCTTGCTGTGGAGCAATCTACTGTAGTGCAATCTCAAAATCTTCTGAGCGACGGGAGTGAGGTGATGGGAACAAATCAATGCGATTTAGAGGAGACTCCGGCCCGATATACAGAGGGAAATTCTTAATGAACTGGGAATAACTGGGATACTTTATGAGACCTTAATAACTTCAAAAATTAGATTGACCACCACTAAGGTTTTATCATGAATGGGCGTCCAACAGGTGTTCAGTAATTTTTCAGCCAGAGTCATTCTGGTGGTGTCGTAGGCTCTTTGCAGCATCGATGAGATCCGAAAAGGGACTCCACTGCTGGCTGTGTCGTACTGCTGGGCCACTGCGACACATCCGGACCCGGAGGCTTGCGGCAGAACTTGGTGAATCATAGTCGTGCCGTAGCGGGCAGAACTTCGAGACTAGATGACCCAGTTTGTGTAGCTGATCAATACTTCCCACGATGGGCAAGACGTCTTTTTTACTTTCATTCACTTTGCAAGGCCTCCCAGCTGAATCTACTTGGACAGCTACTAGACAGATGGCTTTCTTGGCGCCAACGGAGGACCACGTGGGCTTTGAGGTGGTGAGAATGCTCTAAATTGAATGGGCCAAAAGTGTGGTCAGATGCACTGATTCTTCATAGATCTTCCTACTGTATCTCAGCGTGACTCAGGAGTGATCCTCCAGTAAATGGCCCAGGCGCCTGTCAGGAGACAGTGTGACAGCTGGCAAAGTGGCAAGTTTCAAATCTTGAACCTTACACATTCCCTTCATTCATGAATCATTGGACATTTTGACTGCTTTGGGGTACTCTTTGAACAGCCGTGCAGGACGCACAAAATCAAGGCATCTCAGAGAACTTGCCAATGTCGTTGGCACCTCAATCCGAGCTACACGGTGAGATGAGGACGTTCGGATACGTTTGGGTTATTGTAGTATGAGTCCGCTCGGTATAAGTAAGATAAGAGACGACTGGAGATGTTGCAAGACAAGAAAGAGTACACATGTGAAGAATATTGATGGCTTTTGTTGAGAGAAGCTTGATCTTCGGCAAGAGAAGCACTTTCACAAGCTTGGGCACATGGTTTTGAGAGGAGTGACGTGGCAGTCTTGGTGGATTGGTGTAGCACATATCAAGTGGAGACCTTAGATCGCTGCAACATGTCCATAATTACCATTTTGTGCCTCCATCACTGCACCTGAAATAAGCTACTAGGAACAAGTGCATCGCTACTAGTAACAAGTGCCTTACTAGTAGTAACAATGTTTGCTAGAAACAAGAAGCTACTAGGAACAAGTGCACCGCTTCGAGTAACAAGTGCCTTACTAGTAGTAACAATGTTTGCTAGAAACAAGAAGCTACTAGCAACAAGTGCATCGCTTCTAGTAACAAGTGCCTTACTAGTAGTAACAATGTTTGCTAGAAACAAGAAGCTACTAGGAACAAGTGCATCGCTTCTAGTAACAAGTGCCTTACTAGTAGTAACAATGTTTGCTAGAAACAAGAAGCTACTAAGAACAAGTGCATCGCTTCTAGTAACAAGTGCCTTACTCGTAGTAACAATGTTTGCTAGAAACAAGAAGCTACTAGGAACAAGTGCATCCCTTCTAGTAACAAGTGCCTTATTAGTAGTAACAATGTTTGCTAGAAACAAGAAGCTACTAGGAACAAGTGCATCGCTTCTAGTAACAAGTGCCTTACTAGTATACTACCGACCGGTGACTTAGGACTTGTGTGGGCCAGTGACATAGTAGTTGTGGCCCACTACTCCTAAGTCATTGGGAACACAAAAATTGCAGAGTTGCTGATTCAAGCCTCATGACTTGGGAATTGTCGCCAGCTGATGATCAAGCATTTTATTTTTTTTTTCAGGGAGGGAGGGGAATTGATGCACACAGAACAAATGACATAAGAATCGGCCTGCTCATCATGTTTCATCATGCCTCCTGGTACTTACAACTCCTATCTCACGTCATTTATTCATCTTTTCCGGCAACTTTTTGTTATTTATTATGTTATATATCCGCCGACCCCCGCTTAGCCCTTGCCTAAGCGGGGCGGCGCCAGGGACACCGGAGGGTGGAACGGGTGGCAGCGCAAACGAAAGCCCCAGCATGCCACGTTAAGCAGCCACCCCCGCCTTCAAAGCCCTACTGCGTCGGCATCACTCCTGCACTGGCCAAACAAAGGCCGCAGCTTGGCTCAGAAAGCTTTTTCTCTGGGCTTCCGAAGGCAACGTTAGACACCCACGGGCCCCGCCCGCAAACGTCCCTGCAGGCCGTTTGCGCGCCTGCGAACCCTGCTTGGGGCCGTTTGCCCGCCCGCAAACCCTCCTGAGGCGCGGACAGTGCCGTCTGCCAGGCGTCAAACCCTTCCCGGGACCTCTGGCCGCACTCCTGCACTGCAGCTATGCCGGCCAAAGGCCGCAGCTTGGCCCAGAAAGCTTTTTTTTGTGGGCTTCCGAAGGCGACGTTAGACACCCACGGGCCCCGCCCTCAAACGCTTCTCGGCAGCCGGCAGGCCTGCCGCGGCCTCTCTGTGGCCTGTCCGAGGCCTGCCTCTTCTCTTCACCCACGGGCCCCGCCCGCAAACGTTCCTGCAGGCCGCAGCTTGGCCCAGAAAGCTTTTTCTATGGGCTTCCGAAGGCGACGTTAGACACCCACGGGCCCCGCCCTCAAACCCTTCTCGGCAGCCGGCAGGCCTCTGTGGCCTGTCCGAAGCCTGCCTCTTCTCTTCACCCACGGGCC